AGGTCCTAATGTCTACCTGAGTCCAGGAGGGAAACTACCATTGAGATAGCTAGTAACCTAGCACATGGCAGACATAAAAGAAAGCTTCGGGCACAAAAAGGTTTAGGTAAAAAAGCTATCATCGAGATAGTTAATCAAAAACAAAGCAAACACAAAGAAAGGCCACAGGCACAATGGATTTAGGCTGGAGAACTATTGTCGAGATAGTTAACCAAGGACATGGCAGACACAGAGGAAGGCCACGGGCATAAAAGATTCAGGCAGGAGAACTATCATCAAGATTGTTAACCGAGGACATAGCAGATACAAAGAAAGGCCACGGGCGCAAAGGGTTCAGGCGGGAGAACTATCGTCGAGATAGTTAACCGTAGACATGGCGGACATGAAGGAAGGCCAATGGCGCAAAGGACTCAGGCGGGAGAACTATCATTGAGATAGTTAACCGAGAACGGGCTTAAGAAAGGCCAAAGGTATATTAATCAAAGAGCGTGAACCATGTAGCGGGTTTACCCTTGGGGGTCGAGTAATGGCTAGCAAGGCATGACAAGAATAAAGTAAAGAGCAACAAGGTCACAATGTCGTTCTCTTTGTAGTCCGGAATGTAAGTGGAAACAATCTGAAGGTTACTTTACGATAAACACGAGAGCAAAGAGTGGACATAATTCCTAAGTATATACAAAGGTAGGAGATTACCAGATTGCGTAAAGAAAGTAAATATTAAGAGGCATATCCTATAGATATATCAAAGGAAATCCCTCAATCTAAAGGCGCTCCTCCTAGCGCAACCTAAACTATAACCATAGGAAATCCTCCGATCTATAATGTACGTCCTTTATGTACGGTTCCAAAACAATAAGGAAATTCCTTCCCTTTATCCAACCACACACAGTCCTTATCCTTTGCTACGTGGAATCGCCATGCACTAATCCAACTTGTCACACATGGTCAACCAGGTCTGTCTGCCACACCTATCTCTTCAAGAATGCGAATCCGGAGAATAACAAAGAGCTCCTCCAGGTACGAAATGGGCCACTAGTGTGAAGAAAATTTGGTGGCCGTGACAACCTGCTAGAATTTACTAGTACATTCATTGGTCATATGACTGTATCATATAACTAAGACAGCCACATTACTAAATAGGAATAAGGTAACATATATTTTAACATATAGTATGAGGTATCCAAAAGGTGGACTAATACTATTACACAATGCCAGTATGATACTAATATATAAGGAGCACTTCCTATGACAACAGGCAGAAAAATAAAAACCCAAAAAAACGCAAACTGTGTTCAAGAGTCAGGGTAATTAAAGACAAATTCGAAACTAAACAATAAACATTTTGGAAAAAAGTGGCAAAGCAAAATCATTGAATAATACAAATAGTATTATTATTGAATTTAAATTATATAGTACTTTTAACTGAGTAAAATAGTTGAATAAATACTTCAATTGAGTATTGATAATTTTGACAATTGATAGTTAACATTCAGAATGCTAGTATTTACTTTTTCAGGTATTAGTATATATTTGTTCTTTACTTACACCAATATTCTACTTATACAAACATTAGAAGAGTATGAATTTTATCTCTTACTAGCAAATCGAATTTAGTATTCTTTCTATTGTTATATAGTCAATACTTTTTTGCTAGCAAGTAAAAGAAGAAGAATTATGGACTTCATACTTGATAGGTGGAATATAATACATACCTAATATTTTACTATAAATGATAAATTATAGTAATCAAGATTAGTATTGATATTATTTTCTATTAATATTAAATTTGAATAACTTTTAAAAGTATTCAGCATTTCAAACTTTGTTCCATCTAAAATCCGAATTTAACAAAAAGGTTAGTAATCTTGAGACTTGAATCATCTTATTTTATTAATTATAAATACTAACTTCAGTAACTCAGAAACAAAAGAAGTAATCAGATACACATTTCAGAAGATATCAGAAGACATAATAGAAAGCTTACAACCTGAGGACTTTATGGAATGATGCAGTGGATGTAGAAAAATAGTCAAATTGATGAACATTTCTCTCAAGCATGATGGATGCAGATATAAAACCAGTGAGATATACAGAAATCGAGGTGCCGATAATTGGCAGCAAAACCACAATATGCATAACAAGCTATTGAAAGCAGAAGGACAATCAGAGGATAGAAATAGGATAAGAGTCAGAAAGAAAAAGGGTAGTAATTATGAAGAGTATTTGGATTTGGAATTACAAGAGGAGATAAATAAAGTAGTAAATAAAAAAAATTCTAAAAAATATGTGAAAATAGATATAAATAGAGTTAAAGTAAACTAAGAATAAACTAGGTAATAGTGGAAAACCAAGAAGTAATGGTACAAGAATCAGAAGGAAATAGGTAGAGAGAAAAAAGATCACTACAAATTTTAATACCAAGGACTTAGTATGGCAGACCAGCAAGAATACAATAGGAGCCAACCCCCATGCCGCACCAACGCAGTCACTGCTTATGGACAAAAGATCTATTAGAGTTCACTGCAAGATCATGAGTATGGCAGAGGTGTAATACCTGTCATATAGACAGACAGTTAAGAGTTACACAGGTACCTACTCTTATAATACCTACTCTTATAATACCTAAAGCTCAGCAGTGGCAAACTGGAGTACCTTTACCACCCAGACATAAACTTTCTGCATTAATCTATGAGTATAGATATTATAAAGTATTACACTTCCTAGAAGAAAAGCTGTCCAAGTCTTCCAGTCTGTTGCTAGAGTTTGGAAGTTGTGGTACAGGTGGAAAGGTCCATCTATATATATTTGATAATCCACCAGAGGTTATATAAAAGCTATTTACTGGGAATGACTAGCAAAGTATCCAATTTCAGAATAATATTCATGCATATCATAATGCTTTATCTTTAACATCACTTGGGACCATCGGAGCACCATATAGAGTCAATAATGGTAGAGTTTACTCCTATAGACTCGGAATCAAGGAGGTACTATATCACAACCAGGGTCCATTACTTCCTGCAAATAGTGAAAGACCAAAGTTTGCACACATTTATGTACATGATTCCAGAGATGTAGATGCACAAGTTGCTAACCAACAAACTATATTCCCTGACAATTTCTTGGATAAGGAAGTTCTAGCAGGTATAACTACTGTATTTCAACCACAGAATTGGTTGATTCAGACATATGAGACAGCTGGGGAAATCTTCCAATCTAATCCAAATAACACTGTTACTCTGTAATTAAAAATGCTAAATGCAGGAAATAGGGATCCTAGGGTGTATAACCTACTAACCTCAGAGGAAATTAGAATTTTAATTGTTAGATGTAGAGAGGAAGAGTTTGATAAGCATGATATTATTATCAGAACACAGAGTAACAATCAAGATTACATAGGATTCATCAGAATTTTGGAATTAAACCCTTACGATTTACCTCTACGCTATGTTCTACTTTTACCATGAGGAGAGTTGGGCTGGTGATCAGATATTCCACTAAGAGGAAATTTGGAAGCAGGATCAGTAGACTGGGATATCTATGATACCGAACACGAGGAAGATTTAGTATATCAGCTGTATATGATAAATCCAACAACTGCAAGAGGTGGCTTGAAGCATGTCTCACTTGCAATATAGCGTAGTTACTATTTATTTGAACATTCTAGAATTCAATCCTTATTACATTATGCTGGTCGATTATTTCAAGAATGGGTTGTTGATGCAGCAGCAGTAAATGAGCAAAATAATCTCCACTGGATTAGGCAAAATCAGATTTAATTTAAAAAGCTGACTTTAACATATTGTATGTTATGAACCCATGTGGTTCACATATGGGCAATCACTTGTACCTTATATAATCAGGTAAGAGGTATAGAACACAAAATTTTCAAGTTGTTATTGACTGGTCTAAAGTTTATGATAAGTAGCCCCCTCTGTATTATAATAATCCCAAATCCAACTTTAAATCTGTGAATTGCCTTGTTTCAGAGCCACTAACACATGTACCAGGCCAATTAATTTGAAAATACTGGGCCCAGACACAGCAGATTATGGAAGGTTATAGATCAAAGACTGTTTATGGATCTATCAGTGATCCCAAGTGGCGAGTCTAGACCATGGTCCAGACTACAGGTTGGCAGTCTGGTCAGTCCAGCCTTGGTTTTGAAAAGCCTGGACCAGTCCGATCGAGATTCTCTAAGGCTGCCAAAGCCTGGTGGTGCCCAGGCAACCGCCGGGTTGAGTCTTAATACAACCTAGGTTAGAGCTGCCAGATGCCTGGGGAAAGCCACCAGATGCCTAGGTAATCTGAAGATATCTATGGACAGCCTGCAGGCTATCCACTTTTCATCACTTGGAACAAGATATCAGGAGCAACATATGCCTGATGCTATAGATCTCCCTTAAGGAAAATGTATGGCATCCAGCGATGAACCCCCGCTGTACCCAAATATGCTGTCCTACCTCAAGACACTATACTATTCTGCACACAACTCTCTGGCCACCCCAGCTGAATATGTATTGTCTGCATGAAATAGTTAGTCCTGTTGAATAATGAAATATTTCTTAGTAATGAAACACACTGGCACGTGATCCCTTGAAACATCGGCCTGCAGGTGACCCAGGCCAGGCCCGGCTTTGGTTTGGAAAAGCCGCTTTCCCACAGTCCAGCCTGGCCGTCCCTGAAAAAGCCTGGGCTAGTCCGGCCGTACTCAAAGCCGGACGGACTGGCCGCTTGGGATCACTGGGATCTATAGAGTATGAACATCTTGTACATTAAAAGTATGCTTCACATCATTGTGTTAGTGATTTGAAGGAGAACCAAAATGTAATAACTAGTAAATAGACACCTTCTAAATAAAACTAGCAATACATGAAATACAAGCTCTAGAGATTGCTTGGTATGAAAATTCCGTAGTATACACCCCTTACCCTGATTACATAAGGCGTCATAATGTGCAACAGCGTTGGTCCACCTTTTAGACACCTCACACCATACTAACCATGAAGAATGTGGCCTTCTACGGTCAGCAAGACGAATGTGTCGTTTCAGGCTCTGACGACGGCAATTTCTTCATATTGGAGGCGCGTAGCGCTCCCATTGTGAACATACTAGCTGTGGGTAGCGAAATGGTTAATGTGGTCACAGGGCATCCTCACGAGCCGATTCTTGCGGCCGCGCGAACTGGCCACCAGGTGGACATTTTTGCAGTAGACTACCGATTACGGTCAAGCCCGAGTCTGCACTTACTCTAACAAAGCGGAAACGTGCCATAGATGATCTTTTCTCGTCGCCTGCTAAGAAGCCTACTACTACCGCCTGTCAACTACCGTCTCCTCCAACTCCTCCCCCGCCGTTAGAGAATCACCCGTAGACCTGACCCAGTTAAAGATTGCTCATGGCTCGTTATTACCGGCTCTGCTTTTGCACAGGCCCCATCATAATTACGGTACACACACCCCTCCATTCTCCACTATAGGGTTCCGCGTGGAGCGTCATGCCCGGAGGAATATCCGCTTTGAGGATCTACGACGGATAGCAAATATATCCAATTATGGAGGAAATGTAGACGACGGGGGCGTCGGGTTAGTTGACTGCAGCGCAGGAGATATATGCGTCGACTGGCTCGAGTTCCCGTGCTCCTTCGTAGTTGAAGGACAGAGCACAGTTCAAAGATAGCACAACTACGTCATATCACGGAGGCGTAAATTGAGAGGCAGCGACCTTTTGCGACTGCGTGAGGGATTTACCTGGTGGGTAGACATCAGCCATATTGCAGCTATTCTTAACCGAATGCCTTATGCTGCACCACAGATTGGCGGCACTCTGAAAGACAGGTACCATTGAACTCCCCTCATCAACGGGCTGTAGATGGATAGGTACCGGGGATGGGCGACTACACGAAGAATACCTACTAGGGGCAGGCCAAATAATAATGCGGCTATGCTCAGCCGAACACTAGCTGGCGTTCGGCATGGATGGGCGAGGTCTATAAGACAGGTATCATCTGAGACATCTCCCAATAGTTGACCCTCTCCCGACCCAGTTACGAAATATATATGTATTTTAGGACTGGTGGCAGTCCCGGGCTGGGTCCTGGACCAGGGATTGAAGCAAAGGTTGCCAAACATCCTAGATTGAATCCCCCCCCCCTCCCCAAGCCGGTTGAAATTGTTGCAATTGGTGGTATGCACGGCTTATCCTTGTCGTCCAAAGGGAAAGCGTACTCCTGTGGTTTCAATGACCATTACGCTTATGGGAGGGTGGCTGGGCATGCACCTCCAACCAGAGATGTGCATTCCGGGACAGCGACGGTAACGGTGAAGGGCCCCTGGATCCGTTGGAGAGCACGTCAATGCTGATTACATGGCTCTCAGAGGGGGCTACAATTACGAAGATTACCGCCGGAGACAGCATTTCCATCGCTGTTACTAACACCCGCGGGGTTGATGGATGGGGAACATTCAGGGTATAAGGCCAATTATTCCTTCGGGCTACAGTATGGTTGACTTATTGTTTAGTGCGCCGGCCACCATTCTTGAGAAGACTAGTGTGCAGCGTGCCCTAGTTTTTCCACCTATGCTCAGGAACATTGTTCAGCTTGGTATCGGTACTGACCACCTCCTTGTCCTTACAAAGGAAGGAGAAGTGTATGCGTAAAGCAATAGTCAGCAATTCCAGCGTGGGAGCATGCTTGCCAGAGACATCACCTCACAGTTGACCCTCACCACATGTGCCTCCCCTGGTGCCAAGCCACGTACGTCGCTACCTTCTTACACAATCCTTTCGCAATTAACCAAGACGACAATGTTTGGGCATAGGGACTCAATATGACCAATGCGGGATATACGAACCCCCGCGTTCCGGCGAAGACAGAACTGTGATTCCAGTTCCCACTGTCGTCCAGGGTCATGTAGGGTACCCACCCCCCTTCTGATATCCACTGGAGATCATGGTGGCGGAGGACAGGGTGCGACGGGGGTGGAGACGGGTTGGCCAAGCTCTTGGAGGGCGACTTGATTCTCTTGGCGTAGGGTCTACCGGAGGTCTCCCAAAGGGCAAGGCGGGGAGGATGCTAGAGGAGGCGGTAAGCGACGGGCAGCAGCTGCAAGGGCAGCGGGGGTTGCGGGGAGGTTGTTGGAATGTAACGAAATTGATGTCGCCAATCTCGTTGATACCGACGTTCTTTCGGCTTGCCTTGGAGTACTCTACATAGGAGGACTGACGATAACAATACGCTGAGTACACAAACTCCACTTGTGATGATTCATACTTCACGTGACTACCGTCTTGATCGATCATGGCCAATCACCCGGAGGCCAGTGGATGTCGGATATGTTCCGGCGCTTGCTACACCATCCGAAAGAGCAGGATCTAGAAAGTATTGACCGGTACCAGGCGCATCCATTAGAATGTGGAATCCAAGCAATGAATCCCTCAGGTTCTCTCTATTGAGTAATGCTCTATATCTTATTCAGACCATGTATACAACTCCCATCCCTTATGCTTCTTGCACCCATACCTGTCAAGGATGATTAAACAAAGGAGAGGTTCAGGATCAGGACGCTGCTGTCACATACCAGTGTTAAAATTAGAACAACTCACTTATCCTGTACGGTCGCAGATAGAAGTCGGTGTGACTCACACCTGCGACCATGTATGACACATAGATATTTCCTTGGTTGGGTGGCTGCGCATGTGACTGGAACTTGGGTATAAAGGAACGGGAATGCCTCCTAAGTTATCTCTTAATTCTGTAGCGCAAGCGGGGAATACTATCTTAGAGTTTAATACTATATTGCGTTCAACTCACACTGCTATCTTACATTCTAAGAAAAGCTCCAGAGTTACCAATATTTTCAGGTTATGAGCCCAGGTTAAGCAACTTTGCTTCCCAACAACCATACCACATTAAACATAGAGATTCTATTCTATCCGTAAAACGCTAGAACCCGTTATCCCTCACATCATACCTCCACACACACTTATGCCAACAACCTTTCACTGTCAATTCCATCGGTGCCAACACTGCCTCTCGGTTAGACCATCAACCTGGGACTACGTACACCCAGCTTATTGTCCAGGATACTACTCCTTCATCCGAAACCGTTGCTTGTGGGTCCTACAGGACATCTTGGTAGTTGAACACATTCGATATGACATCCAAACTGACGAATTCAGAAACGTCCTGATCGAACAATCCAACACAAAACCAAGAAACCCACCAAGACACTAAAATGGCAACCGAATCCTCCGCAAACGTCGTTTCCGACGAAAAGTTCTCCGTCTCAGTCAAAGACTTCCCAAAGCTCCATGGCCAAGATAACTATCGCACCTGGGCCAAGGCCAGGAGAATCGCATTCATGGCAGCGCATCTTTGGGAAATAGTCAATGGAGATGATATTCAACCAGAAATACCTGCGGAAGGAAGCTCTGTACAAACAGAGCTCACAACATGGAACGACAAAAACAATCGAGCCTTGGTCTTCCTATACCAAGCAGTCGACCAAACCTATTACTCGGACCTCACCTCATACGATACCGCTCCCGAAGCATGGGCCGTACTCAAAGATCGATTCGACAAAGAAACTCCAACCACAGACCTCATCCTCTTCGCGAATGTTATGCGCCAACAGTATACCAAAGGTCTTCCCATCTCCGATTTCATTACCTCCTTCGAGACACAATGGAATCTCTTCCAACAACAATGTCTCCTTACCGGTACCGGAGTATCGAATGACCTACGGAAAATACTAAAACCATTCACACAATCACAACTGATCAAAGGAGCAGTATTCATTACCACAGTCATGGAAAGCTACCCAGATCTAGTCGATGTGATCATAGTAAAGGAGCAAATAGACTACGCCACGGTAAGGGATATATTCCTTAACCGAGAAGCAGGACAAATTCAACCTATGGACGGAGACCAAGCACTTTCCATCAACAAGTCGTACAATGGACAAGGTAACCGACAAGGTTATAAACCTACCACCGGCAAAAACAGAAGACATTGCAATCACTGCAAACAGTTAGGAAAGCGTTTCGATAACCACGATACGAATAAGTGCAACTGCCTAAAGAGGAACAAACAAAACCGAACCGCAAACGTTGCCGATGCCAATGTACATACTACTGTACTAATGGCCAGAGTCGAAGACATGGAAGAAAAAGAACACAACACTATCGAGTGGCTTTGTGATTCTGGGGCAACAGCCCACATATCACCAAATAAAGGTGACTTCCTAGACCTCTCACCCTGCAACAATGTTGTAATAACCGCGGACGGTAGAAGACATACGGCAGTTGGATCTGGAAGAGCACAGCTGGATGTGCTACTGTTAGATGGATCCACACATACAGTTATCCTATCCGGGGTGCTGTATGTACCGAGCTTCAAGTTCTCCCTGGTATCCAAGTCAAAACTCGATGAGTGAGGAGTATGAGTGGTAGTAGAGAAAGGAAAAAGAAAGTATGAGAAGGAAGGGAAGGTGTTCATGGTGGCAGGATTAAAGCAAGGATTATGGCATGTAAAGCTAGATACGAAAAAGGCACTTATGACCACATATAAAGAAATACACCAGGCTCTAGGTCACCCAAGCATGATTAAGGATTGCTATGAAGACCTAAACCCATTACCAACTCCCAAAGACTTCAACTGCGAGAAATGCAACCAACAAAAAACAACTCAGTCATCACCCCCTACGATTGGAATCAGAACAGATCGTCCTTTCGATAAAATCCATTCGGACTTGAGTGGACAAATGTCAACACCCACACTGGGAAAAGGACTATACTATATAACCTTCGTTGATGACCATACGAGATACTGTTGGATCTACATACTGAAGTCTAAGGATGGAGCCAAAATTGCCATTCGAAACTTCTGGGAACTCATCCTCACTCAGTTTGGGAAACGGATTAAAAGGTTTCACAGCGATCAAGGAGGAGAATACCTAAACCATGAAGTATCAACATTCTTCACCGAACAAGGCGTATCTCACACAACATCCCCTGCACACCACCATGCACTAAACGGAGTGGCCGAAAGGATTAACTGAACCCTAACCCAAATGGTTCGATGCATGATTCCAGACGATAAGAGGTTCCTATGGGGAGAAGCATACTCTACCGCAACAGACCTATACAATCGTCGATGGCATACAACAATCCAATCAGCACCTTTCGAACACCTATATGAGAAGAA